TGACAGGGTACGCTAGTCTTTGACTCAGGGACTACTGGCCCAGTCATCAATCTGACCTCAAACCTTTTGATATGCTTATGATATATTATGCTTATGTTATATTATGCTTATGTTATGGCCACCATTGCAGGGGAACAATGGGCATCTCAATATACCACCAGGATGCTATTGTAGAATAGAATACGCCTACTGTAACCTGCTGCTGGCCTTGCTGTGTGGCTATAGGACCAGTTAATCTCTGTGCCCATGCAGGAAGTACATTTGCATCTCAGCACCAGATTAATGTCACTGTTATAAAGATTGAGTGGCAAGTACGAGAGAACATTCATTTAATTGACTATAAACTAATTTAATTGACTATAAACTAAAGCGGTCAGGCTTGAAGATAGCAGACACATTCTATATAATGGAGGCCCACGCTTTAATCTCTACATTTGTCTTCAAAGTGTAAAGCTAAGCTTCTTTACAGTAATTCCATGCATGCCAATTCTCTCTTCTTATCCATAAAACATGTGACTTTTTGAAAAGCATACAAAGAAATTGAAAGGAGCCTTAATATATATTGAGACAAATTCATTTGCTTCTCAGTGAAAACTGAGAACTCATGACAAACGCAGATCAGCAAGCAAGATGTGCTGCATTCAACTTTGAATTGATGCCCAAAATTGTCACTGCTGCATTGACCAATATATCAAATTGCCTACTAGCCTCATTCAGCAGAAACTTTGATTCAGCGCTCCAATTAGTTCATGCAGCATAGGCCTTTCATCAAATAGCAGTCTCCCTGCAGCCCAAGTCTCCTATCTCCCTCATCAATATTCCCAAAATCGTTGGTTCATTCAATGGGACTGTTCGAAGCACACCTTCCTTGCCTGGCAGTGCTGCGGCATAAAAAAAATTAACACAAATCACTGATGTTTCAGAATTTGACCATAGCAGCCCAAACCCACACCTCTACCATTAGAAATAAACGGACCTGTTTGACATGAAGGCGCAACTTCCTACAGTCGCAGATGAAGGAGTCTAGAGAACACTTACTGGAGAAGATCATCCATGAATAGCAGTCGGTTAGGCTACTGTTGAATTGAAAGTCGTTGGATTTCTTCAGCGCGGCTCCACCACCTCAGAAAACCCCGCATTTATTAAATAATGAACATAAAAACTGATAAGTATTAGTAAACCCTATACAAACCTACAATTCAAAGCAGAGGAGCTGTGAGGCGCGTTCTCCAACGTGCACGAATATTCCCAGATGTAGTACGATGGTATTTAGACTCCGCACCCAGACCCAGCCTACTCCTATTCTCCGGCAAAATGTTGGAGAGCAGTGACAGATCGCACCAGTGTGTTGTGAACAACACTAGCGTTAGCAACAATCGTGGAATCTGCGGTTCGCCTTCAAAATGAAAGTCCCCCATTGAAACGGATAGAAATAGTGCAATCATGCCACAATTGGACTAATGCTAAACAAGTTTGGAATGTTGTTATATAAACTCAACAAAAGACAATAATTTGACACAAAAAGTAAAATAATCTGTTGAAATCGTACTGAATTGCATTAGGGGCATACTTATATTGTAATGTACAGCCTTATCTATGGATCTTAGGTCCACGAAATGGGGTATCAGCCTAATCAAAGTGACACCCACAGATTACAATTCTAAAGAGTTTACACAAATATTAGCGTCGTACCTCTTATAAATATCCCATTTAGCAGACGCTTTTATCCAAAGCGACTTACAGTCATGCGTTCATAAAAATGTTTTGTGTATGGGTGGTCCCGGGGATCGAACCCACTACCTTGCGCCGTGCTCTACCAGCTGAGCTACAGGCTGATACCCCATGTAGGCTGTGACCCCATTTCATGGACCCAGGATCCATAGGTAAGGCTTTACATTACAATATGAATGTTCAATACGCACAATGGGCTTAGTAGGGAGTGAATAAACTGATACCCCAATTCACGGAAGGCTGTTCATTGCAATATAAGTATTATGCCCCCAATGCAATTCTGAAGTTGAATACATCCACAGTGCTTTTTCAACAGATGTTTTACTTTTTGTATAAAATAGACTAATGATTGTCTTTTGTTGAATTTATATAACAACATTCCAACCTTGTTTAGCATTATCTAGTCCGTTTGTGGCACGATTCAACTATATCCGTTTGCATGTTTCAATGGGGAACTTGTATTTTGAAGGCAAACCGCCGATTCCACTATTGTTGTTCACACTAATGTTGTTCACAACACACACGTACATCGCTACGATTAGGTGCGCTATGCTCTCTGGGACATGTAGTGCGTAATTTCACTCAGAACGTGAAGAGGGTTATGACAAATTGCACTACACTAGCCTATTCAATGGAAAAATATTGTGTATAAAGTGTATTAAAACGGTATTTTATGTTTAATGTAGAGTCAATGTAATTAGGCTACATCTTAAGGTGTTGTAGGTTATTATGATGCCATTTAATTGTTTACCAATAATTTCAGTTACACCATTTTAGAACACCACTGTTATTACACAGCAAGACACCTTGATAGATGAGTATTTAGAACAGCACAAGCTTACACAAAGACAATAGCTGTCGTCTGTCTGTCTTCAACTAACCCAAATGGCTCTTTTGGGAGTGAGCCCTCGTTTACTTAATAAATGAAATAAGACAATAACAGTCCTCTCTGGCTTCCTGTCTGGCTGGTTGAAAGAATGATTCAGCGTGGCCACAGTTTATATTTAGCAGCACAGAGTGTGCATAACACGTGAAAAATAAAATACAAACACCCCTTACTGTTATTTAACCTTTATTCTTAGGAGTCGACCCCTTCCTGGTCAATTCTTCTACATTGTTTCTTTGAGCCGACCCCCCTCCCTGCTTACTTAATTTTGGACATTAGGCCCTATTGCCACTGTTCCCAGTAGTGCTGACTGTCATGGTCAGAGTAAAGGGAGAAAAAGCTAGCAGAAGGGGAGGGGGGGTGGGGTTGATATAGCCAGGAAACGCTTGCCTCAAGCCTTATGGCTATATATAGATTGTGACTATTCATTCTTCACTCCTACTGTCAAATCATCACAAGGCATTGGTCGCTGGCGGCAACTCAGGAAACTCAGGGCTGATGACTTGGTCCTCTGACTGAACAGAACATTATGAGAGGTTCTAAGTTTAGGACCGGAGCAGGGTGTGGGGAACTGAACAGAACATTATGAGAGGTTCTAAGTTTAGGACCGGAGCAGGGTGTGGGGAACTGGGGAAGTGAAAAATAACACTTAGGTTATTTATCACAATGATGAATACTGTATAGCTAAAAATAAATCCTGATAATTCCACTTCTTAACTGAAAAAGGGCCATTAATGGCAGATAAGGACAAGGGTGGGGGTGTGGGGATGTCAGAAAACATTTTTTTTTAAAAACACTATTTATCCCCATGATGAATACAGTATAGCTAAAAATAAAAGCTTGTTAATTCCGCCAACAACAAAAAAGAAAAGCGTGGCAGCGTAGAAACTTTATTTTGCACAATATTTTGATGATGTATGTTCAGTAATATACACTGTGGGTATCAGCCTGGCCTATCTATGTGAGTTTAAATTAAGTGTGACACAAATGGATCTGATTAAGGAATACTGCCACATTCACCAACTGCTTCTCATTATAACCCAATGCCACATTACTTTTACATTCTGTGTGGAAATCATTTTTGACAACTTTCCTGGTGAAATCAGAAAATGTCTGTATTGATAAAGCCTTGTAGGCTACATACCCATGGACACACACATAGACCCCCCCCCCCCCCCCCCCCCCCCCCCATGATATGCCTCAAACACTAATGGCATCTGACTAAACCATCAACACAGTAGAATTCTAATAAAAGTGTTTTGTGTTGTGTCTTCTTGTGCAGTTGACCCCTCCCATCTGATTCTATCAGGAAACAACTGCAGCTTGTCTTTCGTCCATTTGATTATGTGACCTGTCTGTTTCGGTGTATATTTAAAGTGGCACCTCTGCTATTTTGACTCAGAGCATGACAGGGTGTGTGTGTGTGTGTGTGTGTGTGTGTGTGTGTGTGTGTGTGTGTGTGTGTGTGTGTGTGTGTGTGTGTGTGTGTGTGTGTGTGTGTGTGTGTGTGTGTGTGTGTGTGTGTGTGTGTGTGTGTGTTTTACCTCTGCTATTGACTCAACGCATAACAGATTGCCCCAGATGGTCGATCCTCCCATACCCTAACTTAATTTTAGACACCAACATCACCAACATTGTCAGTAGCAATTTCATCTCAGTAAACAGTAATCAGCTGTGTCAAGTTATTCAGAAACAGTTGCTAGTGTTTATTTAATATTACGTGACTAGCATAAAATATGAGAAATATATATTTTAAAAATATTTAGGATACACATAGATTAGTCTCGTTTATTATGTCCAATGGATATTCATTGAACCCAATAATAACCTATTCATTTTATTAATCTCGTATTATTTTTGACGAGGTGAATATGATTTGATATAGCCTACATAAGCTTGTATATTTTATAAAGTAGGCTATCTCAGTGAGTCACACTGTGAACGTAGAATTGAATTATAGCCTTAACTAATCCTATCTATATAACCTAATCAACCACACACCATGCAAAGTTGTTACTGGTAAATGATGATAATGATAAATTCGTATTATTAGTCATGTTTAATCCATTATTGTCATCTTGTGCGGAATGAGAACTGGGTGAAAGTGACAACGTACGGAGTTTTTACTTGTGTTATCCACTACTGCCCTCTAGTGGTGTACACCATTTACGTGTTCAGTAAATTTGCAGATGATCTATAGATCTGTAAAAATGCTCATAGCGTATAGGTTGTTCTGAAACCGTTCCCGTGTGTGAACAAATTCCCCGGTGGTGAAAGGATGTAAAGCAGAACATATATGTTTGTACTCTGGTGGTAAATTAACCAACGAGAACAGTAAAAAAAAAAAACTGAATTCACTTTGTCAAATCTGCGCTCGAGACGTTGTTGAACAGCGCCCGGGTTGAAAGGTCGTCGTTGGAAAAACATGGCGGCTTCCAGCAAGACAGTGGTGGTGCTGAAGACAGTCAAGAAAATTGTTGTTCAGTTTTGTCCGTTTGAATCCAATGTACGTTCCACACGGTAAGAATGTCTGTCACGTTTCTACCCAGGCCGTGTAAATATATATTTCTCTAGGGAACGTATTCAGTCTATGAAAGGGAAGCGACCATGTCGTGATGTGAAATAGCATTCTGGTCCCTCTGTACTTGTAGGGCAAATCATGCAACTCTTATTCCACACAGATAATCACACTATCGTTGAATGTTATCTCATCTGTGCAACCAGTCATGTACACAGATTTATGAAGGTTATTCGTTTCTAGCTAGCTATCTTAAATCTGTACCTAGCCTAATAAACGTTGTGATTGGAAGATTGAGATTGTCATTCAGGTACTTGCTTCGCTGGCATTACCGTCATAGGCTCATGTAAGAATATAATTGGCTGTATGCCTAAACGCAATATTTGGCAAGCATCAACAAGCAATGTATTTATTACTGTTTATTCCAGATTTACAAACTATCTACACAGTTTAGTAGGGTGACCATTTAAAAACGCATCTTTTGACCAGTGGGTCAAGTAATATGTTAATTGTATAGAGAATCCTCTAAAAGTCCAAACCTCAAGTCTCTATCATAATCCGATCAAAAGTTATTGGAGTTTTTACCCTTGTAGGATGGTCAGAATTAGGGTGACTAAATCAGTGGAGGCCAGAGAAAAAAAGTGGTCAAAAATCAGAAAAAGAGTACTGCGTCAGCTAGGCTGGATTCTGTGCTAGAATTAAGGGTACTGGCAACCCGACAGGCTCCCTTTCCTGTGGAACTCATCATTCTTCTCGTAAAACAACATAGAGGTAAGATGGATATTGATTTTGAGACATGACATGTAGCATTTTCATATTTTAGGATATGCTTTTCATATTAATTCATGTTCTCTTTTGAAAATGTCTCACAAAATCAAGCATATCTCTGTGAAATGTCAACGGAGCTCTGAGAGTATAGCAAACTTTTTATTTTCAAAGCCTTTTCCATTTAATTCAGTTCGTGTCAAGCAAATAAAACATTTTGCGACCCGGAGAAATAACTTTGAAGACGATGACCACGTAAAATCCTCAATTGTTACGAGAAACCTGCACCGCTATGTCAACAGAGCTCGGTGCATATTATCAGATTTATTAGGTTACGAAATCCGACTTTTTGTATGTCATGTTAATGATATGTTAGAGAACGACCCCACTGAACAATTCAGAACATGAATAATCATACTTGTCTTGGTAAAATGTATTTTATAACATAAGAAAGTGAAATTTCATCACCGAAGCACGTTTTCACCCACTCTGGGCAGATGGGGTGGACACCCTAGGTCTAGGCCTAGGCCTATAACTACCATATTGCAAAGCCTGTGTTGCCACAAGGCTCATTCTATAAAATAGCCTAAGCTTTAAAAGACTCACTGGAATAAGGGATGGTTGGCATGTATTTCACACATTTCTTGATCCTTTAAATGGGTGAAATTGGATCTATAGTTCTTATTCCGGTGAGGGGTCAATCGCCACACAGAGATGCATCCCCTGTTAATGTGACGTTCCATGTTGGTGTCCTGCAGGGAGTTCTTGGTCATGGTTGGATCTGAGAAGGCCAGATCTACCAATATGAACTGTGAGGTGATGACAGAAGTAAAGCACGACCAGTCTGAACCAGTGGTGGACATCACATTCGGTAAGTAGAATAAACCTGACTTTTACCTAAGATTTACATCATAGAGGCCTATGGTAGGTTATAGTCTGGGTATCAGCCTGTTTAGCCATCCTTCCACTCCTTGTCATGCTAAATGACACAGAGTAAGAGGAATGGAATGTTAGCAAAACAGGTTCTGGATTTCAGGCTAGGTATATTATGCCAGTTGTCACATCCTGGTCCTGGAGATATATATATATATATATATATATATATATATATATATATATATATATATATATACATACATACATACATACATACATACATACATACATACATACATACATACATACATACATACATACATACATACATACATACAGTGGGGAGAACAAGTATTTGATACACTGCCGATTTTGCAGGTTTTCCTACTTACAAAGCATGTAGAGGTCTGTAATTTTTATCATAGGTACACTTCAACTGTGAGAGACGGAATCTAAAACAAAAATCCAGAAAATCACATTGTATGATTTTTAAGTAATTAATTTGCATTTTATTGCATGTATTTGATCACCTACCAACCAGTAAGAATTCCGGCTCTCACAGACTTGTTAGTTTTTCTAGAAGCCCTCCTGTTCTCCACTCATTACCTGTATTAACTGCACATGTTTGAACTCGTTACCTGTATAAAAGACACCTGTCCACACACTCAATCAAACAGACTCCAACCTCTCCACAATGGCCAAGACCAGAGAGCTGTGTAAGGACATCAGGGATACAATTGTAGACCTGCACAAGGCTGGGATGGGCTACAGGACAATAGGCAAGCAGCTTGGTGAGAAGGCAACAACTGTTGGCGCAATTATTAGAAAATGGAAGAAGTTCAAGATGACGGTCAATCACCCTCGGTCTGGGGCTCCATGCAAGATCTCACCTCGTGGGGCATCAATGATCACGAGGAAGGTGGGGGATCAGCCCAGAACTACACGGCAGGACCTGGTCAATGACCTGAAGAGAGCTGGGACCACAGTCTCAAAGAAAAGCATTAGTAACACACTACGCCGTCATGGATTAAAATACTGCAGCGCACGCAAGGTCCCCCTGCTCAAGCCAGCGCATGTCCAGGCCCGTCTAAAGTTTGCCAATGACCATCTGGATGATCCAGAGGAGGAATGGGAGAAGGTCATGTGGTCTGATGAGACAAAAATATAGCTTTTTGGTCTAAACTCCACTCGCCGTGTTTGGAGGAAGAAGAAGGATGAGTACAACCCCAAGAACACCATCCCAACCGTGAAGCATGGAGGTGGAAACATCATTCTTTGGGGATGCTTTTCTGCAAAGGGGACAGGACAACTGCACCGTATTGAGGGGAGGATGGATGGGGCCATGTATCGCGAGATCTTGGCCAACAACCTCCTTCCCTCAGTAAGAGCATTGAAGATGGGTCGTGGCTGGGTCTTCCAGCATGACAACGACCCGAAACACACAGCCAGGGCAACTAAGGAGTGGCTCCGTAAGAAGCATCTCAAGGTCCTGGAGTGGCCTAGCCAGTCTCCAGACCTGAACCCAATAGAAAATCTTTGGATGGAGCTGAAAGTCCGTATTGCCCAGCGACAGCCCCGAAACCTGAAGGATCTGGAGAAGGTCTGTATGGAGGAGTGGGCCAAAATCCCTGCTGCAGTGTGTGCAAACCTGGTCAAGACCTACAGGAAACGTATGATTTCTGTAATTGCAAACAAAGGTTTCTGTACCAAATATTAAGTTCTGCTTTTCTGATGGATCAAATACTTATGTCATGCAATAAAATGCAAATTAATTACTTAAAAATCATACAATGTGATTTTCTGGATTTTTGTTTTAGATTCCGTCTCTCACTGTTGAAGTGTACCTATGATAAAAATTACAGACCTCTACATGCTTTGTAAGTAGGAAAACCTGCAAAATCGGCAGTGTATCAAATACTTGTTCTCCCCACTGTATATACAGTGCCAGTCAAAAGTTTGGACACGTACTCATTCAAGGGTTTTTCTTTATTTTTACTATTTTCTAGATTGTAGAATAATTGTGAAGACATCAAAACTATTAAATTACACATGGAAACGAAAAAAGTGTTAAACAAATCAAAATATATTTTAGATTCTTTAAAGTAGCCACCCTTTGCCTTGATGACAGCTTTACACACTCTTGGCATTCTCTCAACCAGCTTCATGAGGAATGCTTTTCCAACAGTCTTGAAGGAGTTCCCACATATGCTGAGCACTTGTTGGCTGCTTTTCCTTCACTCTGGGGTCCAGCTCATCCCAAACCATCTCAATTGGGTTGAGGTCGGGTGATTGTGGAGGCCAGGTCATCTGAAGGTCATCTGATGCAGCATTCCATCACTCTCCTTCTTGGTCATATAGCCCTTATACAGCCTGGAGGTGTGTTTTGGGTCATTGTCCTGTTGAAAAACAAATGATAGTCCCACTAAGCGCAAACCAGATGGGATGGTGTATCGCTGCAGAATGCTGTGGTAGCCATGCTGGTTAAGTGTGCCTTGAATTGTAAATAAATCACAGACAGTGTCACCAGCAAAGCACCATCACACCACCTCCTCCATGCTTCACGGTGGGAACCACACATGCAGAGATTATCCGTTCACCTACTCTGCGTCTCACAAAGACACGGCGGTTGGAACTAAAAATCTCAAATTTGGACTCATCAGACCAAAGGACAGATTTCCACCGGTCTAATGTCCATTGCTCGTGTTTCTTGGCCCAAGCAAGTCTCTTCTTCTTATTGGTGTCCTTTAGTAGTGGTTTCTTTGCAGCAATTCGACCATGAAGGCCTGATTCACACAGTCTCCTCTGAACAGTTGATGTTGAGATGTGTCTTACTTGAACTCTGTGAAGCATTTATTTGGGCTGCAATCTGAGGTGCAGTTAACTCTAATGAACTTATCCTTTGCAGCAGAGGTAACTCTGGGTCTTCCTTTCCTGTGGCGGTCCTCATGAGAGCCAGTTTCATCATAGCGCTTGATGGTTTTTGCGACTGCACTTGAAGAAACTTTCAAGGTTTTTCAAATTTTCTGTATTGACTGACCTTCATGTCTTAAAGTAATGATGGACTGTCGTTTCTCTTTGCTTATTTGAGCTGTTCTTGCCATAATATGGATTTGGTATTTTACCAAATAGGGCTATTTTCTGTATACCAACCCTACCTTGTCACAACAACTGATTGGCTCAAACGCATTAAGAAGGAAAGAAATTCCACAAATTAACTTTTAAGAAGGCACACCTGTTAATTGAAATTCATTCCAGGTGACTACCTTATGAAGCTGGTTGAGAGAATGCCGAGAGTGTGCAAAGCTGTCATCAAGGCAAAGGGTGGCTACTTTGAAGAATCTCAAATAGAAAATATATTTTGATTTGTTGAACACTTTTTTGGTAACACATATGAAATCATGTAGTAATTTCATAGTTTTTATGTCTTCACTATTATTCTACAATGTAGAAAATAGTAAAAATTAAGAAAAACTCTGGAATGAGTAGGTGTCCAAACGTTTTGATTGGTACTGTGTGTGTGTGTGTGTGTATGTATATATATATATATATATAACTGTGATTGACTTGGAGTTACATTGTGTTGTTTAAGTGTTCCCTTTATTTTTTTGAGCAGTGTGTGTGTGTATATATATATATACACACACAGTTGAAGTCGGAAGTTTACATGCAAAAAAAAATCCTGAAAAACGTAGACATTTATTTGCATTTTAATGAGGGAAATAAGTATTTAACCCCTCTCAATCGGAAAGAATTCTGGCTCCCAGGTGTCTTTTATACAGGTAACGAGCTGAGATTAGGAGCACACTCTTAAAGGGAGTGCTCCTAATCTCAGTTTGTTACCTGTATAAAAGACACCTGTCCACAGAAGCAATCAATCAATCAGATTCCAAACTCTCCACCGTGGCCAAGTCCAAAGAGCTCTCCAAGGATGTCAGGGACAAGATTGTAGACCTACACAAGGCTGGAATGGGCTACAAGACCATCGCCAAGCAGCTTGGTGAGAAGGTGACAACAGTTGGTGCGATTATTCGCAAATGGAAGAAACACAAAATAACTGTCAGTCTCCCTCGGCCTGGGGCTCCATGCAAGATCTCACCTCGAGTGTTGCAATGATCATGAGAACGGTGAGGAATCAGCCCAGAACTACACGGGAGGATCTTGTCAATGATCTCAAGGCAGCTGGAACCATAGTCACCAAGAAAACAATTGGTAACACACTACGCTGTGAAGGACTGAAATCCTGCAGCTCCCGCAAGGTCCCCCTGCTCAAGAAAGCACATATACAGGGCCGTCTGAAGTTTGCCAATTAACATCTGAATGATTCAGAAGAGAACTGGATGAAAGTGTTTGTGGTCAGATGAGACCAATATCGAGCTCTTTGGCATCAACTCAACTCGCCGTGTTTGGAGGAGGAGGAATGCTGCCTATGACCCCAAGAACACCATCCCCACTGTCAAACATGGAGGTGGAAACGTTATGCTTTGGGGGTGTTTTTCTGCTAAGGGGACAGGACAACTTCACCGCATCAAAGGGACGATGGACGGGGCCATGTACCGTCAAAACTTGGGTGAGAATCTCCTTTCCTCAGCCAGGGCATTGAAAATGGGTCGTGGATGGGTATTCCAGCATGACAATGACCCAAAACACACGGCCAAGGCAACAAAGGAGTGGCTCAATAAGAAGCACATTAAGGTCCTGGAGTGGCCTAGCCAGTCTCCAGACCTTAATCCCATAGAAAATCTGTGGAGGGAGCTGAAGGTTCGAGTTGCCAAACGTCAGCCTCGAAACCTTAATGACTTGGAGAAGATCTGCAAAGAGGAGTGGAACAAAATCCCTCCTGAGATGTGTGCAAACCTGGTGGCCAACTACAAGAAACGTCTGACCTCTGTGATTGCCAACAAGGGTTTTGCCACCAAGTACTAAGTCATGTTTTGCAGAGGGGTCAAATACTTATTTCCCTCATTAAAATGTAAATCAATTTATAACATTTTTGACATGCGTTTTTCTGGATTTTGTTGTTGTTATTCTGTCTCTCAATGTTCAAATAAACCTACCATTAAAATTATAGACTGATCATGTCTTTGTCAGTGGGCAAACATACAAAATCAGCAGGGGATCAAATACTTTTTTCCCTCACTGTAAGTGTATGTACACTTCACACTTCAACTGTGTGTGTGTGTGTGTGTGTGTGTGTATATACACTACCATTCAAAAATGTGGGGTCACTTAGAAATGTCCTTGTTTTCAAAAGAAAAGCAATATTATATATTAAAATAACATCAAATTGATCAGAAATACAGTGTAGACATTGTTAATGTTGTAAATGGCTATTGTAGCTGGAAACGGCTGATTTTGAATGGAATATCTACATAGGCGTACAGAGGCCCATTATTGCAAAGAAAAAGCCAGATCTCAGACTGGCCAATAAAAATAAAAGATTAAGATGGGCTGTCTGAGATATGGCTTTTTCTTTGCAACTCTGCCTAGAAGGTCAGCATCCCGGAGTCGCCTCTTCACTGTTGACGTTGAGACTGGTGTTTTGCGTGTACTATTTAATGAAGCTGCCAGTTGAGGACCTGTGAGGCATCTGTTTCTCAAACTAGACACTCTAATGTATTTGTCCTCTTGCTCAGTTGTGCACCGGGGCCTCCCACTCCTCTTTCTATTCTGGTTAGAGCCAGTTTGCGCTGTTTTGTGAAGGGAGTAGTACACAGCATTGTACGAGATCTTCAGTTTCTTGGCAATTTCTCGCATGGAATAACCTTCATTTCTCAGAACAAGAATAGACTGACGAGTTTCAGAAGAAAGTTATTTGTTTCTGGCCATTTTGAGCCTGTAATCGAACCCACAATTGCTGATGCTCCAGATACTCAACTAGTCTCAAGATGGCCAGTTTTATTGCTTCTTTAATCAGCACAACAGTTTTCAGCTGTCCTAACATAATTGCAAAAGGGTTTTCTAATGATCAATAAGCCTTTTAAAATGATAAACTTGGATTAGCAAACACAACGTGCCATTGTAACACAGGACTGATGGTTGCTGATAATGGGCCTCCGTACGCCTATGTAGATATTCCATTAAAAATCAGCCGTTTCCAGCTACAATAAATCAAATGTTATTGGCCACATGCGCCAAATACAACAGGTGTAGACATTACAGTGAAATGCTTACTTACAGCCCTTAACCAACAGTGCATTTATTTTTTAATAAAGAAGTCAAATAAAACAACAACAAAAAAGTGACTATGCATAAATAATTAACAGAGTAGCAGCAGCGTAAAAATATGGGGTGGGGGTGGGGGTGGGGGGGCAGTGCAAATAGTCCGGGTAGCCATGATTTAGCTGTTCAGGAGTCTTATGGCTTGGGGGTAGAAGCTGTTGAGAAGTATTTTGGACCTAGACTTGGCACTCCGGTACCGCTTGCCGTGCGGTAGCAGAGAGAACAGTCGATGACTAGGGTGGCTGGAGTCTTATTTTGAGGGCCTTCCTCTGACACCGCCTGGTATAGAGGTCCTGGATGGCAGGAAGCTTGGCCCCAGTGATGTACTGGGCCGTACGCACTACCCTCTGTAGTGCCTTGCGGTCGGAGGCCGAGCAGTTGCCATACCAGGCGGTGATGCAACCAGTCAGGATGCTCTCGATGGTGCAGCTGTATAATTTTTTTAGGATCTGAGGACCCATGCCACATTTTTTCAGTCTCCTGAGGGGGAATACTCAACTAGTCTGTATGTATCCATTTACAACATTAACAATGTCTACACTGTATTTCTGATCAATTTGATGTTATTTTAATGGACAAAAAATTTGCTTTTCTTTCTAAACAAGAATTTCTAATTGACCCCAAACTTTTGAACGGTAGTGTGTATGTGTGTGTGTGTGTGTGTGTGTGTGTGTGTGTGTGTGTGTGTGCAGGCTTTTGTGCCAGCCCAACATTAACTCACCTGATTCCCGGTGTTGGCCTGGAATAAATAGCCTGCTCTGCACACCCTGGAACACTCCAGTCTCAGGGTTGGTGACCATTAGTAAAAGCTTAAAGAAATTACATCGATGTAAGATCTATTAAGTGTTCTTGAACTTAAGTCATATTGAGGTACATGAATGACCAGGTATTTACAAAATGAAATCATAATTATCCTACATAGTAATAATCTAGCCTGTTGGATTCTTTAGGGTCCCAGTCTTCACAATTTGGTACCAGGTAGCAGAGTTCCCAATGTTGTTTTGCGTTCCTTTTTACACTGCCTCAGCGAAACAAGTTGTTTACTTGTGATTTCCCCCTTCTCTACAGTGGATGGAGAAAGGCTAATGATGAAGGGCGCGAGACTGACCAGCAAGGAGATGCTGACAGCACTGCAGTCACGATGTGTAGCCAAGGACCCCCAGGCCAAAATTACAGCCAAGAAGTAGTCCCTCCCTCCCTCAGTAATATGTATGTGTCTATGTATATTTGTGAATGTTCATAATAAAATACTTTATTGAAATTATCTTTGTTGTTTTTCAGTCCATTTTAGAAATACACTACATGGCCAAAAGAATGTGGACACCCCTTCAAATTTTGTGGATTTGGCTATTTCAGAAACACCTGTTGCTGACAGGTGTATAAAATCAAACACACAGCCATGCAATCTCCATAGACAAACATTGTCAGTAGAATGGCCTTACTGAAGAGCTCAGTGAGTTTCAACGTGGCACCGTCATAGGATGCCACCTTTACAACAAGTCAGTTCTTCAAATTTCTGCCCTGCTAGAGCTGCCCCGGTCAACTGTAAGTGCCGTTATTGTGAAGTGGAAACGTCTAGAAGCAACAACAGCTCAGCCGCGAAGTGGTAAGCCACACAAGTTTACAGAACGGGACTGCTGAAGCGTGTAGTGCGTAAAAATCGTCTGTCCTCGGTTGCAACACTCACTACCGAGTTCCATATAGCCTCTGGAAGCAACGTCAGCAAAATAACTATTCATCAGGAGCTTCATGAAATGGATTTCCATGGCCGAGCAGCCACACACAAGCCTAAGATCACCATGCGCAATGCCAAGCGTCGGCTGGAGTGGTGTAAAGCTCTCTGCCATTGGACTCTGGAGCAGTGGAAACGTGTTCTCTGGAGTGATGAATCACGCTTCACCATCTGGCAGTCTGACCGACGAATCTGGGTTTGGCGGATGCCAGGAGAACGCTGCCTGCCCGAATGCATAGTGTAAACTGTAAAGTTTGGTGGAGGAGGAATAATGGTCTGGGGCTGTTTTTCATGGTTCGGGCTAGGCCCCTTAGTTCCAGTGAAGGGAAGCTTCCAACTTTGTGGCAACAGTTTGGGGAAGGCCCTTTCCTGTTTCAGCATGACAATGCCCCTGTGTACAAAGTGAGATCCATACAGAAAGGGTTTGTCGAGATCGGTGTGGAAGAACTTGACTGGCCTTCACAGAGCCCTGACCTCAACCCCATCGAAAAACTTGGGATGAATTGGAACGCCGACCGCGAGCCAGGCCTAATCTCCCAACATCAATGCCCGACCTCACTAATGCTCTTGTGGCTGAATGGAAGCAAGTCACAGCAGCAATGTTCTAACATCTAGTTGAAAGCCTTCCTAGAAGAGTGGAGGCTGTTATAGCAGCAAAGGGGGGACCAACTCCATATTAATGCCCATGATTTTGGAATGTTCGACTGGCATGTGTCCACATACTTTTGGCCGTGTAGTGTATTTCCTCTACTGAATGGTCCAGATTAATTAGGAGCACATTCACTTTTTAACGTTATTTAGGTTAGATGGCATAAGACTTTGAAGTGAAAGCATGTCAATTGTTTTGTCTGCCAAGTTTGTTTCAGATCATTTTTGTCCATTCAGATGTAGGCTATTAGATTGCATTATCTAGCTCTGTCATCATTTTTTACCTGGTCAGTGAACTATTTGCAGAGTAATAGACACTCTTTTCAGCATTTTGAAAGGACATTGTGAAACCCATAGCCTCTGACATAGTAAGCTAAATGTAATTTGGCACAGTAGTAGATGTGGCACTCAAAAACCTTTCACCCAGTCCAACTATTATTCCTCCATTGGAAATTGCGGAACTACATACCGTGACGTCCGTGGCTATGATTGGTCAGCATTAGCATGCTTGCGCCAGCTGGATCCCTTTAAAACCTTGGACCGTTCTCATTAGAGGGAGTAGATTCGATTTTTGGAACGATAGACCGCACTGTTGTGGATATTACAGATAACTGGAAAGATGGTTGACAAGTTTGTGGGGACCTGGAAAATGATTTCCAGCGATAACTTTGATGACTACATGAAAGCTTTGGGTATGATATATTTTTCTAATCTTGAATAAATGATTGATAAACTTATGATAGGAATAAATATAACGATAACATTACATTATAATACGATGAAGATTTGTATTTATGTATGCATGATAATGCTTTTGGTTGCACCCCACTACACTGCCAATAGATCCCACATGACAGTTTGTTCTCCGCTGTGCAGGTGTTGGCTTCGCGACCCGACAGGTGGGAAACCGCACCAAGCCCAGTCTGATCATCCTCATGGACGACCAAGGAATTATCTGTGTGAAATCCCAGAGCACTTTCAAAACGGTTGAAATTAAATTCAAACTCAACGAGCCTTTCGAGGAAACAACTGCAGACGACAGAAAAACAATGGTTGGTTGGGATCAAAATCTGTGTGTGAAAGTCAGTTGACTTGGGTGAACGGTTCATTGGAAATAACTTTATTTTTCCTTTCATCTTCAGACCGTTTTTACTCTTGAAAATGGCAACCTTGTGCAAAAACAGAACTGGGACGGCAAAGAGACAACAATAGAGAGAGAGGTGACTGGTGATGGCAAGTTGATAGCCGTAAGGATCAGTTTTTTCATTTCTTATTAAAAAACAACTTTATAATAGCCTACATGTTTCTCAAATGGTCCTGTAGTCTTTTTTTTGCCTGTTTGTAGTTTGTTTATTTGTTAATAACTTCTGAATTTGACAGATTACTGTAAAATAATTTCTGATATTAGAAACTCATTTTACTAAACTTTGTATAAACATTAAGTTGTTGGGAAAGTTAAATCACACTTGAATTTATAAGCTCAACCATTTTACATGTAAGACTTCATGCATTTTTGACTGAACAAGTGTTTTATCGCTCTCAAACCTACAACATATGCAGGAATGTTTATTCCTGGTTGATAGCCAGCACGTGAATCATCTCAACTCTGACCTACCAAACTCTTTTTCCCTCTCCTCCTTCCTCCTCTTCCTCTCCTCTTCCTCCTCATCTTTACAGAAATGCGTGATGGGGGATGTGGTTGCGGTGAGGACGTACGTGAAGGAGGCATGATGGGTCTCGTGACAAATTTTTTTCTTCGATGATTGGATAACGACAGGCTCAGTTCAATGAGCAGCAAAGTTAAAGTTACAGCACGTATTTGCTCATATTCTTCATTGTATTGCCAACGCATATTTATGCATTGTACTGCTCTAATATGATACATTTGGTTATAAACATTGTTTTGATTTGAATAAAAACCTTAAAATTGCCCTCTTGTTCTCATTTGAAATGATTGCATGATGTCTTGGTTGGATTCTCCACGATGGGACAGTAGGTTCAATATTGACCACTGATGACTAATATGTATATTTTTATTTTTAGCTCTAAACATGTAAGAATAACAAGACATGAGTAATACATGTTATTCATAGACTGACACAACATGTGGCAGCTTTCAGCTATTCATGTAGCCACATTTCTCAGTACATAAAATGAACAAACATCAGTGTTTTGCAGCAACGATTACGTTCTTTGATGATCGCAAACATGGATATTTGACAGTGCTCTTGGTTTTACCATTGCCTAGTGTTTAACAGAGTACATGATAATAATCTGACCAGGGTTAGGTCTATTTGCATTGCTTTTGGCAGCCAGACACACAATCATAACAATCAAGGCTACTGATGCCTTATAGCAGTGCGCTACCGTGTATTCGAAATGCCCCATTATTTAATACTAACAAATACCCAGGTCAACAGGATCCATAGCTTTAATTGATAGCCCAACTGACTAATGTACTATTGTTAAACACTGTACATGCTAAATTGATATGGAACAGAGCATGTGAGCGGAGCATGCCCAATTTGACTGGAGTGTGGAGACATATTCCCAAAGGCTGGAGGACCCGCCCGCTCCAAAGTAGCGCTCACTTCACGAGCTAAGGGCATACCCGTCCCAGCACGCATTTATAGTCTACTTGTGTGCTGCTATAGACCCTTACTTTAGCTACTGTCATGGATTTCGCTAAATATTTTTCATAAAGAAACTGATGAAACACAGAGGTGCAAAATCAAGGTGATTTACAAAGATGAGGACCAAGAGCAAGCGAGGGAATGCTACATCACCGCACTCCCTCTCTTGCTCTTGGTCCTCATCTTTGTAAATCACCTTTGATGTTGCACCTCTGTGATGTAGTGTCCACAATTAAATAGTCATTGTGGAATCTGAAAAGGCACATATCCCAAAAGCATGATGGTGTAGGCTACTTACTACGTGTACATGCTAAAAGGAACGAGGTGGGTAGCTAATTAAGTGTGTCATTGTAGCAAAGTATTTATAAACTAAAAACCAGATCTCTTAAAAGTGTATTGTTATATTATCTATGCAATAGGCCATCATTGATTTTGGCTCAATAGGCCTGGCATATTCCAACTTTCAAGGAGCTTTCAGTTTTGATTGGGTTATTTTGCATAAAAACCTTTATGCTTACCTATTGAAAAAAAATTAACTGCATCCCTGCCCAGCCTGGCAAGTGTGGAGAGGATATTCTCTGCTGCTGGCCTGCTCTCCAGGCACAATCGCATGAGCCTGAAGCCACCGATTCTGGCCAAACTCGTGTTTCTAAAAATGAATTCAAACGCACTTGAATTCCTAGTAAGGTATTTTTCATTTAATTTGTATTTAATTCTAAGTCCCAGCCCATATGCGCAATTTATAGACTATAATGATTTAATACAACAAAATGTTGTTTAAATGCTGAGCGCTTAATATCCCTGCCAGTCTAGTGTGTTGCACTCGCAAATGCTTCACAATGTATTTATTTGTAGGCTATAGCCTTGAAATAATATAGCCTAAATAATTCATTTTCGTTCCTTCTTAGACTCCCTGTCTGGCTCCTGACCTGAGTGTTTATATGCTGTTTAATATAACATGTAGCCAATTTGAAATGATGAGCGCTTCTTACATTCAACTTTTCATGTTTATTAAAATACTTTTCATTCAAATCATATGGTTTGGTTTCAATACTTCAAAACCAAATGGTAGGTCCAGGTAGTCACAAACATAGATTGGTGTTGGTTAAATGGTGAATTTAATGAATGGAGCGAATTTGGAGCGGCAGTTTTTTCCCCCCTGTGAGTGCTGAATGGTTTTTAGCTGAGTGGTTGGAAAGAACGTGGAGCGCCGGGCAAGCACTGCTCCATGAGTGATGAGCGGGATTGCAGACCGCTCAACTCTGCTCACATACTCTGATATGGAATGTAGATTTTGGAGGATTACTGTACATCCATACATACTACTGTACATTTACTGTATGTTTAGATATGTTTGGACAAAATATGAGTAGTTTGAGTCATAACAGGACTGGCAAGAGTTGAAGACCTGTGATATTATGAATAGCAACAGGAGCCATTGGGGACATTTTCCATCCAGTAACACATTTCTCTCTGACTTGGACAGAACAAGACAAATGAAAGCTAAGCACTTCAAAATTGTTGTTGGCAGGGGGACCACCAGACCTAGTTTACTGGAATGTGAATGCTTTTAAATGGTCAGAGAGGACCAGTGTTAGAGGTCACACAGGATATGTATTTCTTTCCTTTTTTTGGTCTTGAACATTTCCCATTTTGAAGGCCACATAGTTGCAGCGGTGCGTAACTTAGGAAACCCAGAGCATTGTGGGTCCCCGTGGAGTCACTCCCTTTGGCAGGGACTCAAGCTGAGATTGTTCCAGCGAGCGACAGTTAGCCCACAGCCACTTTCCCATGGCAGGAAAGAGAGCAGCTATACTGATTGGGGTTAATGGCGAAAACAGCTGAAACAGGTGGAACTGTGGGCCAACTCTCCACCGACATCCCATTTAGGCAGGACAATGCAATCGGTCCACTGCCTATGCTGTATAAAGTTTGTACAGTGGGTGCGATTCCAAGTTCATCACAGTTGCAAATGCTGGTAGGATCAAACCCCCACTAGAAACGTGCAGCAAAGGTGTTTAGTAGAGTGAAATAGAGGCAAGTTGAAGATACAGATTGCACTAATGGAAGTTTCCAGCCCACACACAGCTTCATCAAAATATATCCCATCTGGGACTGAACCATTTACATTTTTAAAGTGTTTATCTGTCTCTATTCCATTCTGGAACACAATATTTAGATATTCATACTGGTGACTGTAGGTCACATGAGTGCTGTTGGACCAATGACTCAAGGTTCATATGATCTCAACAGTAAGTTATTAGTGTGTGTGTGTGTGTGTGTGTGTGTGTGTGTCTGTGTGTGTGTGTGTGTGTACTTGTGTGTGTGTGTGTGTGTGTGCAAGGGTACAAGTTCATTCTGAGGCGAGAGAGAGCGAGAGAGGGCCATCTAAAATAATACCTCCCAAGCCTTAGGCTCCACAGCTCTCAGCTGCTTCTGATTGTGTCCTAAATGGCGCCCTATTCCCTATATAAATCGAATCAAATCCAATCAAATTTGATTTGCCACATGCACCGAATACAACTAGTGTAGACCTTACAGGGAAATGCGTACTTACAACCCCTTAACCAACAATGCAGTTTTAATAAAATAAAAAATAAAAGTGTTAAGTAAAAAATAGATAAGTAAAACAGTCCGGGTAGCCGTGATTAGATGTTCAGGAGTCTTCCGGCTTGGCGGTAGAAGCTGTTAAGAAGCCTCTTGGACCTAGACTTGGCGCTCCGGTACCGCTTGCCGTGCGGTAGCAGAGAGAACAGTCTATGACTAGGGTGGCTGAAGTCTTTGAAAATGTTTTGGGCCTTCCTCTGACACCGCCTAGTATAGAGGTCTTGGATGGCAGGAAGCTTGGCCCCAGTGATGTACTGGGCCATACGCATTACCCTCTGTAGTGCCTTGCGGTCAGAGGCCGAGCAGTTGCCATACCAGGCGGTGATGCAACCAGTCAGGATGCTTTCAATGGTGCAGCTGTATAACGTTTTGAGGATCTGAGGACCCATGCCTAATCTTTTCAGTCTCCTGAGAGGGAATAGGCTTTGTCATGCCCTCTTCACGACTGTCTTGGTGTGTTTGGACCATGTTAGTTTGTTGGTGATGTGGACACCAAGGACCTGTTCCACTACAGCCCCGTCAATGAGAATGGGGGCGTGCTCAGTCCTCTTTTTTTTCCTGTAGTCCACAATCATCTCCTTTGTCTTGATCACATTGAGGGAGAGGTTGTTATTCTGGCACCACACGGCCAGGTCTCTGACCTCCTCCCTATAGGCTGTCTCATCGTTGTCGGTGATCAGGCCTACCACTGTTGTGTCGTCGGCAAACTTAATGATGGTGTTGGAGTCATGCCTGGCCATGCAGTCATGAGTGAACAGGGAGTACAGGAGGGGACTGAGCACGCACCCCTGAGGGGCCCCCATGTTGAGGATCAGAGTGACAGATGTGTTGTTACCTACCCTTACCACCTGGGGGCGGCCCGTCAGGAAGTCCAGGATCCAGTTGCAGAGGGAGGTGTTTAGTCCCAGGGTACTTAGCTTAGTGATGAGCTTTGAAGGCACTATGGTGTTGAACGCTGAGCTTTTGTCAATGAATAGCATTCTCACGTAGGTGTTCCTCTTGTCACATTTACATTTACATTTACGTCATTTAGCAGACGCTCTTATTCAGAGTGACTTACAAATTGGTGCATTCACCTTATAGGCAGTGGGATAACCACTTTACAATATGTTTTTATTTTATTTAAAAAAATTTGGGGGGTGGGGTAAGGATTACTTTATCCTATCCCAGGTATTCCTTAAAGAGGTGGGGTTTCAAGTGTCTCCGGAAGGTGGTGAGTGTCTCCGCTGTCCTGGCGTCGTGAGGGAGCAGTGGTCTAAGGCACTGCATCGCAGTGCTAACTGTGCCACTAGAGATCCTGGTTCGAATCCAGGCTCTGTCGCAGCCGGCCGCGACCGGGAGACTCATGGACGGCGCACAATTGGCCCAGCGTCGTCCAGGGTAGGGGAGGGAATGGCCGGCAGGGATGTAGCTCAGTTGATAGAGCATGGTGTTTGCAATGCCAGGGTTGTGGGTTCGATTCGGCCAGTATAAAAAAAAAAAAAAATGTATTCACTAACTGTAAGTCGCTCTGGATAAGAGCGTCTGCTAAATGACTAAAATGTAAAATGTTCCACCATTGGGGTGCCAGAGCAGTGAACAGTTTTGACTGGGCTGAGCGGGAACTGTGCTTCCGCAGAGGTAGGGGGGCCAGCAGGCCAGAGGTGGATGAACGCAATGCCCTCGTTTGGGTGTAGGGACTGATCAGAGCC